CCGCCGATGACAGGCAGGCCCACATCTTACAGACTTCGTGATTGTTCTCTGTTCCATGTCTGCCCATTAATAAATAACTTTATAATCATACCCGGCAGACTATTCGTCTTTTTAACAACCTTTCGCCGTGTTTGCTCACTATCTTCCCACGACAGGCATCTAAACCATTTTCACCCAAATATTTCTGCGTCCCTTTGAGGACAGATTTTATTACGAAAACAGAAAAAGGATGTGAAAATAAAGAGCTACTCCTCATCTTACATGCTTAAAGTATGATGTCACTTAGCTGTGACTGAGCCGAGTTAGGGGTTTCAAATTGAGAGAATAAAGGCAACATTTCTGTTGCACTCACTGAATTTCTGTATATTTGGACCTGAGCAACCAGCGAGTCACACAGCTGCATCATGAGTAGGGATGTCCCGATACAGATTGTTTGGTTGCCGATACAATCCGATTTTGTTTTTTAAATGATTAGTCTTTCCGATACCGATTGCTTTATTTTTTTTAATTTCTTTCCAAGTGACAAGATTGGTAGTATTAAAGTGAGCCCTGCTGTTCCCATCTCAACAAACATCCAGTTTGCAGATTTTGCAAGATGCAGTTTCAGCATCATTGTTTTCCATTGAAAAGTGTTCCCACACTGTGGACATGGTTGCATACTTGTGTGCGTCTTGACTTCTTGACAGCAGTTGTAAAGCATGATGATGCTGAAAACTATCACGAAAACTGGATCGGCCCGATCACATGACTAAATCCAATTCTACCCGATTTTCAAAAAATGGCCAAATCTGCCACCGATTCTGAGTATCTGATCGGGACATCCCTAATCCTGAGCAGCTAATGGTGGTTTATATTAAAAGTGTGTCACTTGCACCAGTGTATTCTAGTCTGTGCACATTATTTTGTCCATCTCTGCCCACACTGTCAGCATTATACCTACCTTGATAGCTGCCCATTGGTTTATGATTTTACATTTTACATTTGGAAGCAAACATGAAAAAAATTTGAACCAGTTTTTCCATAATTAGTTACCATTTGTGTGTTTTTCAGATGTGGACATGTCTGTCAGTTCCTGACCTCCTAAGACAGATTGGAGGGACTCTGAGCCTTTGCAGAGATTCTCAATTTTTGCTCTTGAATTGCAAATGTTTTAACATTTTGGTGATTCTGTTCAACTTGTGGTTGGCAGGTGCCAGGCATTTAGCCAGGGAAGTGTTGTAACGGCGTCCTGTTTGATTATCCAACACCTCTTTTAGCTCGGCGTAAATTTCATTAACTCCAAAAGTGGTTTGGGRATGAACAGTYGCAATTATTTTATGAAGCCAGAGGAAGACGTAAAGAATAATTTGCCCARGCTTGGATGGAGGAGGTGGGTAGTGATGTTGTCCGTAAATCTTATCTTCCTACATAAATTTGGTAAACTTTGAAAGCGATTTGGGAATGACCGGCCACAGTTATTTTATGAAGCCAAAGAAAGATGCAATGATTAAACTGCACTGCTTAGAATGGAGGAGGGAGGTCATGATGCTTCCAAAAATTTTATTTCATCACAGAAATTTCAAAAACCTCCGTTAAGTGGGATGGGTGGGGGTTGGGCTGGCCTAAAGAGTTGACGTCTTCTTCCAAAGTCCTTCCTGAATGTTTGAAAGTCGCAGCCCAATGAGACGCTGGCTTCGGACGACAGATGAGGCAAGCAGGGGTGTCATCAAAAAGCTTTTACACAAATTACATTTAAAGGGACAATATCATGTAAATCAACTTTTTGGAGTTTTATATCATGTTATAATGTTATACTCATAAAAAAACATGCCCAAAGCCTTGTTTTGACTCATTCATGCATGTTTGAGAAATCCTGCAGCGTTTTTAGGAAGCCATGGTGAGGAGCAAAATGACAGGTGGGGACCAGAAACACCCCTGGGACGTGTCTTTAAGCCGAGCTTCCTCATCACGGAGCACACCCCCCCACCCCCTACCCAACACACCCCGCCCATGACTCCTGCAGGCTCTCGGGTGAAACTGTCTGCTGAGCTCTCAACATTACTTCTCACTCAGTGAAGCTTCTTTCAGATTAAAAATACCTTCGAGGAAATGCATTTTCAGATGCCAAGTAAACTGCATCATGGCGCCCCCCCCCCCAACCCTGCACCGAAATGGGTGACATAGAAGTGTAAGGTGATTCTTAAAGAGACAGAGGCCAATTTCAAGGTGTTTAGAAGAGGAAGTGATGAGAAGATAAGTTTATTTTCTATTCAAACATAAAAACAGCATTTTAATAACAGCTAAAGGTGACATAGATACTTTATGGTATAGTATTTAAATGTATGCCTGAGAAACACATAAGACTGCCGCTTTAAAAGATAATTACTTTTTATTTCATTTTTAACACATCCAAAAAGTGTTTGAGTAACTAAAACATTAAAAACAGATTTGAAAAAAAATACTATCAAATTAATTTCTACAGATAACCCTTTCCCCCAAGGCGTGTGACTAATAAAATGAACTGACTGGAATTGATTATTTTCACAGAAATGTGAATCTTGAGTCAATGAGCTTCTAAAAGTAAAAAAAATGTGCAAATACAGAAAGCTGGAAAGGATGAAAGAAAAAACTAAAGTAGAGAAAATAATTGAGGATACGTATAGTTGTCAGTCACCGTGTTGCCATGGAAACTGGTAAATTTCCCCTGAAACAKCCCCTTCTTGAACTCATTACACACTGTATTAGTTGTCCTAGTTTGTTTCASTTTTGCTCCTGAATTTAAAACAAATAAATAAATAAATCAAAACGTGCGAACACATCAGAGCTTAAAGAGATTTATGGATTTGGGGGGWTATAAACCTGTTTCTGGGTGTTTGTGTTCGGCTCCTGAACTAGTTTGAGACCCATCTGTTGTTCCAGCACAGGAAAATCACACAATGGAACACAATGCTATTTATAACTTTCATTATCTTCACATTTTTTTTGTGTTGTCTCACCCTCTCTAACCTCATCTTTCAGCTTCTTCCTGCACCGACTCCACCCGTTCAGGCCGTTCTCCTCCGTCCAAACCTCTCATTTCTCTCCCCTCGTCAGCCTTCCATCAATCTCTGCTCCCGCCCCGTCCCCTCTCCATCTTTATTTGCCCATTTCTGTTTGCCTTGCATCGCATTACCACAAATCTTCTGCCCGACTCTACACCTGCTCCATACCTCCACGTTTTTAATCACAAATTCAGCAAATTTTCAGAGTGGAAACCTTCCAACCTTGAAGCTTTGCACCTGTCTGCAGACAGATGATGCCAGCCCAACACTCATGCAAAATGACAACCGGCACAATTATGCAGCTGCCCARCAGCCGGGAACTATCCGGACAAGTAAACATCTGCTACTTACTCAGTGATTTCCTCAGTGACCGTGTGTTCGACTTGGAGTCGGGAGTTGACTTCAATGAAGTAGTGTTTCCCATGTTTGTCCACCAAAAACTCCACAGTCCCTGCGTTCTCGTACCCCACCTGAGGCAGACACAAACAACAATAGTTTTACAGCTCTGATTTATTCAAGCAGGACTGTTAGTATTAGCTGTGTAAACACAGAGGCAGAGCTCACTCATCTTAATGAGCCATGAAAGTTAAAAGAAACAAAAGAAACGCCCGTCCTCCCTCTCTCCAAGCGAACATGACTACATAAAAGGGGTAAAGAATGAGCGCCGTGTTTTATTTGTAAAGAGACGAGGGTACTTTTCATCATCTCAGTGTAATGAAAAATTGGATCATTAATCACRGAGGAGTTACTGGAATCTTCGCCATCATGAAACGTTTTTTTTTTTCCCCTCCCGCCACCTCTCAGGCTCAATAAACCCAATTAGAATCACAATAACAGTCAGGTGTAATTAATTTAAAGTCGTTTGTCTTGGTGGTGTTGGGTGTAAAAATGATGTGTCACTTAACTGATGCAACAAAACAGATGGCGCCAAAAAGAAAGTGCACTTTTCTAGACATAAAATTGTAACATTCAGATCCTTCAATTACAAAAATGTCAAAGAAAACATTTCTTTAAAAATAACTTGCCATAAAACACACATCTTACCCATTTTGTCACATAATTGACACTTTCTTTTGAACTGGCTCAGACAAAGTGAAACAGGAAGTGACATCAAAGTGGAACACTAAGAACAAAATCACTTGTATTTATTTTTTACAAATTTTGAACTCTGGCTCTTTAATGTCATTGATAGAAACGAAAAAATCTAAAGAAAGCTTTCAAACCCCAAAACACATTACGGCAAAGGCTGGTTCACCCCAAAGATCCGGTGCCCCGGCACAAACAGAGCAATGTTGTATATGCTGTTAAGTGCCAGGAGGACTGCGACCAGTTATACATCGGGGAAACAAAGCAACCACTGTTCAAAAGAATGTCCCAACACAGACGAGCTACGTCTAATACTACGAAATAATACGAAATTATTGAGTAGAGGAGAAGAGAAGAACCTTTTTGTGACTGCGACACAGCGTTCAGTTAGTCTCCAGAAATGTCGGTGAGTGACAAAGCTTGTGGTTTTGATTTTTACTCGATAGCATGCGATGAGAGCACGGATGCCACAGACACCGCGTAACTGTTAATTTTTTTTGCGGGGAGTAGATGATAATTTTTGCTTTACGGAGGAGCTGCTTGATATGACGAGCCTAAAAGGCACAACGACAGTTTTTAAAAGACAAGGGCCGCCCTCTTCGTGAACTAAGTGACCCTCTGTGGCTGGCAGACCTGGCATTTTTAGTTGATCTTACACATCATCTGAATACACTGAAGAAGAACCTACAAGGCAAAGAACAGCTGGTGCCACAACTGTATGCCACATGAAAGCCTTCTGCGTAAAGCTCCGCCTGTTTGAGACACAACTACGAGGCTTTAATGCTGCACACTTTCCTGCGCTGTCTGAAATCAAGTCTGCTTTTCCAAAGACCAATCTTTCTGCTAAAAAGGAGAAATATGTGTCTGTGATTAAATCTCTCGTGACAGAATTCAACCAGCGTTTCCAAGATTTTTCTGGAATTGAAGAACAAATCAAGCTGTTTTGAACATCCTTCCTGGTGGATGCAGACAAAGTGGAAGAGTGTCTGCAGTTAGAACTGATTGAAATGCAATGTGATGATTCAACATCAGCCTCTCTCCCTCCCTGAATTCTATCAGAGTCAGAGGTGAGTTTGAAATAAACACATGGATGTATGAATGTATCTCATTATTACAGTAAAACTGATCMATCTATGCTTTCATTATTTTACAGAAAATGGTGTGAAGGACTTGACCTTAAAACCCCCTCGATACAACTTTATCCCACCCCCACTTAGAACGCATGCGAAGACTGACCACACTGACCTTATGCCCAGTAGGTGAGTTAGAAATAGACACATTATTGATGTATTAATATGTCAGTTCTAGTGTGTGGCCCGGCCCTTTGTTTATTTTTATGTATTTGGCCCTCACTAAAAAAATTTGGACACCCCTGCCCTATGACATCACTTCCTGTTACTTCACATGCAGACATCTCTACTGTTCATCTCAGCGGCGTGAAATCTATTTATTTATTGCAAAATGCATTCATATTTATTTGATGTCACAGGCACTTTAAGTTCGTAAAACATTTAAATTGATAAATATAAATATTTTTTTTATATTTTTATGTGTCTGACATGCAAGTTAAGGGTTTGTTTGGATAAATGAACAAAAATAATTTTCTAGTTTTGGCTAGATCTGCTTTAGACMGTTTTAAAAGCTTTGAAGAGTATTTTCTGATGAGTTATTTCATTCCAATAACTGAAAATTACTGTTTTTTTTTCCCCAAAGGTTTTTCTGATTTGTAGCACTCTTCTGCAGCTATGATTATAGAGGAACAAAAATACGGCTTTAGGGCCAGAAGCAGAACTTGGACAATCTCTTTGATAATTTAAAAGAATAAAAAAAAGTTTCAATAAATCTTAGTGACTGAAACAATGGAGTAAATCTTCAGAACCAAAATAGACTTCAAGTTCTACCAAATTGTGCAGAAAGAACTACGCTAAGAATGCTTTAAAATTCTTTTTTTTAATCTAACTGTTACATAAATGAGCGTCAACATACAATTTCCACAAGGTTTAGTTTTCCCCTACAAATGGTAAAACCTGCTTGAGGAAAACACTTCATTAAATGCGACATGATTGTTAAAATAATAATAAATGGAGGACTGGGCGGCACAGATGTAGAGCAGTGAGCGCAGCCGCCTGTCCACCGGACCGTGAAAATAAAATGCTGACTGGAATCAGATGTTCACAACACAGACGCCTCGACTGAAATGTCTTCATACAGCAGTTCTGAGGGACATGGATCATTACTGCTCCTGCAGCCGGTGGAAATATTCAAGGATGAACCCGTACAGAAAATGTGCAGCACCTTCATTTACTCAGGTGAGAGAAAAAGTTCACGTTTTAGGGGGGAAATTATACTCGTCAGCAGTGTGGACTGCAATCTTCTCTTTTTTAGTAAATGGTTCCTGACCAACTTAGAACAAGCTATTCTTAAGACTGATCGTCTTAACCTGTAATTAAATAAATTACAATTGCATCTTTGTTTTAAAAAAGGCACTAAAKTTATCATTTCACAAGCCAGGTTTAAACTTGTCACGAGAGATTTGTGAAGGGTTCATGCTGAAAGATTTTCACAGAAGAAAAAATATATGTACAAAAACTTTGCAATTTCTTGTTAAACAGCAAAAAAAAGCTGAAATGAGCAGAAATGTAACTAAAACATAGCTGAAAATCTACATCAGGCACAAAGAATCTGAAAGAACATGTTTGCTAAATTTAAGCTTTAAGAAGCTGAAATTATCACAAAAAGGTGAATTTAGCTGAAAAGCTCAAATTTGAAGATCTAGCTAAAAGTAGCTTCAATTGCACAACACAGCTAAAAGCATAACAAGCTTAAATTAGCAGAAAGAAGTTGATATAAGTACAAAATGTAAAAAAATCTGCAAAATAGCTGAAACAAGCAGGAAGATTGAAAAAGCTGAAAGTAGCTAAAACATAGCTGAAAAAAGTTACATCTAGCGCAAAAAAGCAAAAAGAACACATTTGCTATATTAAGCTGTAAAAAGCTGAAACTATCACAAAAAGGTGGATTTAGCTGAAAGCTAAAATTTGCTGAAACACTTCAAATGTAGCTTAAATTGCAGAAAAAAGCTGAAAGCAAAAAAGCTTAAATTAGCAAATACCTGATCAAAGTACAAAAATTCAGCAAAATAGTTGAAAAAAGCAGAAAGCTGAAAAAACATGAAAAAGTTGAAATTATCAAAAAAGTGGGAATTAGCACAAAGTAAAAAAAGAACAAAAGGTGAAAAGTGCAGTGAAAGTTTAAACATTTTGAAGTTTTATGGATGTTGAATCGAGTTCAATTCATTTTCAGCTTAAACAAAAAGTGGACAAAAAGACCATTTATCTTAAAAAGCATAAAGTGATGATGTGCCAAAAGTCAGCCTGAATGTCCTGAAGGAGCTGAATGATTTCATGTATTTATTTTTAAAATAGTTCAAACATTGTGGAACGACATACGTGCCAAAAAAAATATTTTAAAGAAAAAAAGACCACCATTATTTTCTTCCTGCTCATTAAGAGGGTCCCTCTTGATTTTGACTCTTCACTGACTTTTCCGATAATCACAACATTTGTCATGTAGAAAAAAACAGACTGACAGAAATTGAGAAGAAAAAAGAAAAAGAATGAAATTAGGGTGTGGAAAGCAGTCAAACGCCTGAAAAACAAAACCTGAACAAGAGTAAATCTAATTTTCCCAGCAGGTCCAGATGTGACAGCCGCCGACGTCTGAGAAAAATCTTAATATTATTTAATCAACACTTTTGGGGGGTTTGATTTGTTTTTCTTATAGAAGTGTTTTTGTCCAAGCTTGACTTAAGTCAAAGTGAGGAATTTAAATGAATTCCATTCATTCAAAAATGCATCACTGGTCACAAAAGCTTCAGGATTTTTTTTTTTTTTCTGAGCAATGTGAAAACAAAACGAGCAAAATAAAATGACAGGAATGGATCACAAACGTATAGAAAAAGGCCATAAATATAAAACTGCTGCATTTACAATTAAATTAATAAATAGAAGATAAATCAATTTTAGAACAGCAGGGTCCAGTAATCTGTGAAATACTAATTCACAATATTTAAAATCAAATCAATTTAATTAACATTTTGTCCTTAGGCAAGTTCATAGAAAATAAAATTAGGTCTGACAATGAGACAAGATGATCTTTGAGTTTATATCAAGTTTACATAATTTATTGAAGTGTTTCTGAAAATTTGACTTTTTTTTTTGAACAACTAGTCCTAAAAGTGACCCTTAAACAACCTTTCACAAAATAAAAAGGTCAATTTTTTTTTTATATTTTCTGATTTGCCTGGTGTCAAATAAGCAAAGATCCAGTCATCAGTCAGTGAGTGTCTCACATGTAGCTACTGACCTGCTTAGTTCACAGTGTT